AAGATGATGAAAAGAAAGAAGAGGAGAAAGAAATGGAAGAAAAGAAAAAAGAGAAAAGAAAGAAAGGCAATAAAAAAGGAAAAAGAAGAAGAAACGAAGAAACAGAAAGAAAAGAAAGATTAAGAAGGAAAGAAAGAAGAAGGAAAAAGAAAAAGAAAGAGAAAAAAAAAAAAGAAAGTAAAAGGAAAGAAAAAGAACGAAAAAGAAGAAAGCAAAAAGAAAGAAAAAAAAAGAAAGTAAAAGAAGGAGGAGAAGAAAGAAGAAGAAAGATGGAAGAAGAAAGGAAAGAAAAAAAGCAAAAAGAAGAAAAGTGAAAGGAGATAAAAGAAAGAAGAAGAAAAGAGAGAAAGGTAAAAGAAGAAAGAAAGAAAGAAAGGAATGAAAGAAGAAGGAAGAAGACAGAAGAAGAAAAGAAAGAAAAAGAAGAAAGAAGAGAAAGGAAGAAAGCAGAGAAACGAAAGACAGAAAGAGACAGAAAATGAAGAAAGAAAGAAAAGAAAGGATAAGAACAAGAGAAAAAAGATAAAAGAAAAAAGAAAGAGAAGAGGAAGGGGAAGAGGAGAAACGAACGAAAGAGGAGGAAAGGAAGATAAAAGAAAAGAGAAGGGAGAGAAAAGAGGAAAGAGGGGAACAAGAGAAGGAAAGGGAGAAGAAAAAAGAGAAAGAGAAGAGAAAAGAAGAAGTGAAAGGAGGAACAGAGAAAGACAGAGAGGGAGAGGAAAGAGCAGAGGGGAGAGAGGAAAACAAGAAAGAAAAGAGAAAGAAGAAAGGATAAGAACGAAAAGACAAGAAAAGAAGGAAAGAAAAGGGAGAAAAGAAAGAAAGAAGAAAGAAAGAAAAGGAAAGAAAGAAGAAAGAAAGAAAGGAAAGAAGTGAAGAAGAACGAAAAGAAGAAACGGAAAGATAACAGAACGAAAAGAAAGAATAGGAAGAGAAAGGAAGAAGTAAGATAAGAAAGAAAGAAAGAAAGAAAGAAAGAAAGAAAGAGGAAAAAGAGCACTGCTGATGCCTAAAGAAGCCATGGAGTGGGTGGAGCTGACAGATGACAACTGGACTCACAGATACGGGAGCTGACTACCCCAGCGGTGACCTTACATTCATGTGGCAGTCTGAGATCAGAAGAACACTGAGTAATTGGAGAATGTTCAGGATGAATAAACACTATGATAAACTTACTCTGATGATTCAGTGATATACCACAGACTAGGTCATTTAGGACCCACATTTTACTTTATGAACTGTATGCTTTAAATTAGCTGTTTATCTTAAAGGTTTTGATGTTGCTCTATGTGAAGAGTGGGCATTGTTATTCTGATCATACTGTTTTACTAGGTTTGTGATTTTTACCTCTTGCATTTTTTCCTGAGATTTTTTTAACTGTGGCAGGAGTAAAACAGGACGGCCAGTGTGTGCTTTCATGGGGATTAGAACAGGTCATCTGCACAGAGCAGAGGGAAAGTGGAAATAGGACAACACAGAAAATAAAAGCCAAACTTCATTTAATGTTGGCCAGCGTCTTGATTTTTTTATGGGTCTTTGGTTAAAAAGACTACCTACCCTCTCTAGAATTCATGCAGTTTGATTACTGATATTACAGTTTCTGATTTTAGATCTGCCAACAAGATTTTATATGCATTTCTTTTGCCTCAATCCGTCAATCCATCTGCCCAGTCATTCAGCGAGCCAGCAAACATTTACTGAGGCCCAGTAAATCCAAGCTAAACATTGGCCAATGCTTGATTATAGAAGCAAAACACAGTTACTGTTTTTAAAGAACACAGAATCCATGAAGGTTAGGTATTTCCTTTCTTTCCCAGGACTTAAGGTGATAGTGTAAGGACAAGAGGTAGTGTAAGCAGATGATGAATGGTGGTAATTCTTCAATAAGGCCATATTGGTCTCTCTTTTTTGGTTATTTTAAACAATTGATGGGGAAGAGAGAGGTGTCACCCTCATCATCCTCATGTCCCAGGTTGTGTCTGATTTCATGCTGAGCTCACTGGACCACTCTCTGAGCAGTGTGCATGCTTTTCCAGGCCGTGACTCACATAGGAAATGATAATATTTTCATGATGCACCAAGGTCAATGGACAAGGCAGCTTTTAGCCAGATACTATCTCTGTGGTCCTATGCTCCTGCCTTGTGTGGCTCCCAGAAGGTTGAAGAGAAACAGTGACTCCACACACCTGTGGCACCTTTACAGCATCCAGTACACTGTCAGGTCCTTCACAACCTGTGCACTCGGCACTGTGTGATCCCCGGGTTGTGCCTTCTTTGTTGAACTAGGGCCCCACTAATTTTATTTTCTCATGAACAGTTTGGGCATGTTAATTAAAGGGGCTACAGAACATGTTTTAGTAACACAATGAGAATTATTGGAGGTAAAAAGTACTACAGGTTAGAGACAGCTTTTTATAATGAAACTAGCCTGGCTTGGGAATCAGTAGGCCTAGACTTCTGACTTCTCTCTGAACATCAATTTCCTTATCTTTAAAATGAGAGGATGAAATAGGTGAAAGTTTAGCCACCCTCTAGCTCTAACATGCCATCATTTTGTATGCCGATAAATCTTTGCTGTTGAATTAACTGCTTTGCCCTGTTTGCTGTGTGTTAGGCACTTAGTGAATGGCAGCTTCATGGGACTCTGGAGATCTAAGGTTACTGCTTAGGTGACAGAGGAATTGAACTCAAACTAAGATGCTGATTGAAGAAAAGAGAACAGACACTGAAGACAGTGTAGAAAAGGAATGAAACTAGCTGTAATTGTTGAAAGGCTTTTAGTGTCTCTTAACTGTAGTCAGATGATAGGCTTTGCGGCTCAGAATCTTCCAGCTAGCCACACACCTCAATTACAGCTGGCAGCCCGGCAGCCTTAACCTCTTAGAATAAGTACTCCCACTCCCAATTCTAGAAATCCTTACTGCTGGGACATCAGTGAGCATAGTTGTAAAAGTCAAATCTTGATTATTCAACTTGGTAGAAGAAAAGTTCATCTTAAGGATCCTGTTCGGAACTTTGTCTTTTTCATGCTTATCTAAGCCCTTTCTGTCCAGCATGTGTTGGGTGGATGAGGCTGCCTAACTGGAAAGTAGCAAAGAAGACCAATAGTAATGCTAGCTATTACTATTTAAAAGACTGGCTACGTTACGGTGGTAGCCACTTTCCCTGATTCAACTAAACTGGCAGCACTTGTTCATTCTGTCAATGTCTGTTTATTTATCATGCCAGATATTTTCTAGAAATTCAAACCTGAGAAGTTCCTGCTATAGTCAAACTCAGACAGACAGACAGGCAGAGTATTATCAGCTTTCAAAGTTTTAATAAACACAATAGCAATTAATTTATGTTCAAAACACAAAAATTAGCCCATCCTTCCTGTTCTCCAGTAACAAAAAAATGTTGTTTTAGATACATTTAAAAAGGACAAAACTAAATCATGCATTCACATATCAAAAAATTCTTCTAAGTACATAAAAATTCACGAAGTGTTATATCCTTAAGGACCATGATGTTTCGTATCCACACACGAGGATGCATACATACGTGTGTGTGTGTGTGTGTGTGTGTGTGCGCGCGCGTGCGCGCGCGCACACGTGCGGGCGTATGTGTGTAATATTTACTTGCATGTGCTCAGAAAGGATACTTGAACTACAGGATCAATAAACAAGTCTTGGTTTGTGTCAGTGCATATATGTGTTTGTGGGGGGCAGGGATTAGAAAGAAAAGACAAAAGAGAGGGAGGGAAGGAAGAGAAGGAAAAGGGAAAGTACTCAGTGGTCTTAGAAGGAACTACAGTAGTTAGTAAATGTTAACTTGCCTCCCACAACCCCATGTATATCTTTTCTGTACTGAGCCAAAACTAGTGTACCATTCCTCATCCCATCAACGGATATATCATTGGAGTTAAGGTGATCACTCCCCCTAATCAAATGAAATGAAAAACAGAATAATTTTAGTTTTAAAAGATATAAAAATATCCACAGACATTGTAAGTGGTATTTATGTACTCCAACAACTATGATAAAGAAAACTTGCTGAAAGTCCTTCCAAAGCAGAAAAGAAATTAAAATCTCAGGGAATTTTTTTCCTTTGCTGGCTAGAAATTCATTCCAAAAAGTACCAGCCTGTCTCATTTCAAAATGCTTCCCTTGCCAAGGAAGCGGAAGCGGTCGTATTCTTTCCCACCAAACTGTGGGGGAATTATAATTATCCTACCTCGTGTGGGACAATGAAGCAGCAAACATCTGCTCTACTGAATAAGAAACCCACGAGTGAAGCTATACCAAACTGTGAGTCATACCTGGACTTGGATGAAAGGATTTGTGTTGTGTTTACCTTTTTCTTTATTTTCTTTGCAATTTAAAATATGGATTTGTTAGCTCTGGCTCCATGTTCTAACTGAAGGGAAATCTATGGACCCCATTTGTTGACTCCTATTTAATATTTAAAAATCCCAGCTTCAGGGCAGATGGACCGTAATCATTAATAATTTTCCTATGTGACTGGTTATTGTCTTCTCACAGTTTTCTTTCTTTCTTTCTTTTCTTCTTTCTTTCATTTCTTCTTTCTCTCTCTCTCTCTCCCTCCCTCCCTCCCTCCCTCCCTCCCTCCCTCCCTCTCTCTCTCTCTCTTTCTCTCTCTCTCTCTCTCTCTCTCTCTCTCTCTCTCTCTTTCTTTCTTTTCCTTAATTAAAGAAGGGTATACTTTAGAAAATTTAGAAGTGCACAATCTGAGAAGTGAAGTCCTTTGGTTTCTTCTTCCACTATAATGGCAATAACAGATTAGTGGAAAATGGTATTTTATACTTTATTTCCAAAAGAAACAAGCTTCAAAACTGTTACTTTTAACTTTATGTGTCATGGTATTTTGGGCAGTGCTACTCTATTGCCAAGAGGAAGGCAAAGGACATGGAACTTCAATTCTAAGTTTTAGCTGTGAAAACATACAATAGTCCACTTGCTTTCAAAGTATTTTTGTGCCATTTTATTTTTATCTATTAGAGAGCAGAAAGACAAACTCGAATTATGGATTCAGCCCAATATGCAGAATTCTGTGAAAGTCGACAATTGAGTTTCTGTAAGTAAGCCTTTAACTTTACTTCATTATATGTTTAAGAGAGTGTGTGTTACAGATATAGCAAAGTATGACACAATCTGTTCCTTGGAAATTGGTGAATTTAATATATGCATAGTTATACCTGCTACAGAAACAGCCTCCGCATTGTTGGGGAGCCTATAAAAAATTTTACCCCACTTTACTGTTTTGCAATTAATAGTAGTAAGAGATTTTAAAGGGTCTGAGTAATACACAGAGAGCTATGTTAATTATTCACATAGGTTTTAGTCAGAAAAATTCCTTTGTCTTAATATTCCCATCTTTCATTTCAGTTTCTTAGTCATATTTACTCTACTGTTGCTGATTGTACTTGATCCATAATGGACTCTCTTGGTACAGTCATGACATTTAAAAGCCTTTCATACATATTAATAGACACCAAATTTTCCATTTATTTACGCATACTCATATTGCCACAGGACAGACCCATGGTCTCTTCCATCTTTGTCCCTGTTAGCCGAATTTCTTTATTTGTGCTCTTGTAATACTGACCTGGTGGTAAATTAGTCCTGTCCTGACAATGCACACAGGCAAGTACATTAAGGCCCATGATAAATAGGGGGCTCAATTGTGTAGCAAAACATCCTCCCAGTAACAGTTCAGTGATGACTAAGACCCTTGGGGTAAAGGTCAAAGAGTAAGTGTGATGAAAAGTCCAGTTAAAAATCTGACAAAGTAGCACATGACCCTGGTTTGAGGGATTATACACACAATGGTGTCTTTAAACAAAGTGCTATTATGTGGTCACAATAACAACGTATTTGAGTTGGAAAAAGAAAATGAGAGCTTCATTTATAGATCATAAAGTGCAAATAAATGACACATTTCAAATAGTGCCGCATGTAAATGTCAGTAAAATATAGGAAAACATGTTCTTGAAGATTTTTTTTCCTAACTAAATATACTTTGCAGTCTGACTAACAATTTGGCATCATACATCTGTGAAGCATTAAGTAAATGACACTTCAGATCATGGCAATTTCAGCAAATGAAAGGTTTTTGTATTGTAATTTTTAGGTTTAAAAATGGCATTCAAGTCTTTTATAAATATAAATCTCCAGTTTATAAAGTAACATTTAGTGCTATTGAACTATTTTTTAAAAACATATTTTAAATTTAATTCACTTAAAGGAACAGAAGTGCTATTTTCACATTAAAACATATAGTCATTGAAGTGTTCTAATACATTGTTTATTTGATAATTAGACTTTTAATGACTCCACTTTTTTTGTTTGTAATTGAATAATAGACTGTATCAGGTTAAAAGTTAATATATTTTCTTTCTTTACAAAATAATTATAGTATAAACAATACATTATGCTTAATTTTTTTTTTAATTTAAATAAGAGAGACTAGGGCCTTTAGAAATGTTTCTTTATATGTTACCCGCGGGTGCTTCATTATGAAACCTTAGTGGAAGAATCTGTTTTATATGCCACAGTGCTGTGGTTGGGAATGCTGAATCCAAGGGGCCAGCAAATTCAGAGCTGATACCCACACTGATGAGACTATTGGACACTGATAAACTACTGGGACACAGGAACTGTGATAGATATGTCCTCTTAAGTTGTTGATCATAGCATTCATGAATTGGGACTATTGCTGTGTTTTATCTTTTTTTCTCTCTCTTTAAAATATTGTTTGATTGATCTTAAGAGAGAAGAAGGGAAGGAGAGAGAGAAGGAAGGAGGGAGGGTCATTGATGTGAGAGAGAAACATAGATCTGTTGCCTGCTGCATGCAACATGGGTATGAGCCCTGATCGGGAATCAAACCTGCCACATTTTGGTGTACAGGACAATGCTGCAACCAACTGAGTCACACCGGCCAGGGTTACTGGTGCATTTTAAGATAACAAGTATATAACTATATAGACTGAGGTTAAGTTGTAGAATTGGGATACTGGTCAAATTCACTAGTCTTGTTTTATATTTATATGTCAATAGTTGTTTTCCTTAAAGTCTTTTAAAGTCTGATATTAATTTTAATTACAAAACTTTAATTCAGTTAAATCTTTCCCCAATTTCTTTCTTTTATCTTTTTGTTTAATATGTTGATTTTGTAAACAAATATCTAGGTTTTCTTTTTTAGACAATCTGAGGGTCTCTTTGTATTTTACTTGATTATTTTAATTCAGAAGTAATTATAATCTGGGTTTATATATGCTGTCTTGTTTTGTCTTTTAAATTTATACTGTGCTTTTTTATTTACTTTTCTTCCTTTTCTAAAACCATCTGTCAGCTGACTCCTGCATGCCCCCTACGGGGGATCGAGCCTGCAACCCAGCCATGTGCCCTGACTGGGGATTGAATTGGTGATCTCTTGGTTTATAGGTTGATACTCAGCCACTGAGCCATACCAGCTGGGCTTTTTCTCATATTGAAATGATAGTTTAGTTGGGTAGAAAATTATAGACTAGTAGTTATTTGTTAAAACATGATTCCATTGTCTTTTAGCCTGCATTGTTGGTAAAAATTTTATCTACTTATTCTATATTTTCCCTGACGGAGAAACTAAGAGAATGAAGATGTATTACTTTCAGGCCCTCTTGTATATGGGGAAATGTAAAGGCTAGCAATTGTAGTTGACCAATGAATATTTATAGAAGGAAAGAAAGAAAGAACCTCTACTATAAAAAATCCCAGGGAAAACCATGCCCTCTAAGGAAGACTTCTCGAGTAACTCAAAGAACAGTGATTTTAAAGAGATTAAAGTTGTAGGAGAATTTCCAGAGTGACCTAATCATTACAGAGGCTCTGTGGGAAGGATCAAGAATGAAAAGACAAGTGAGAAGGGATGAGCTCTAAATAATAGAATAGTACTCAGGGAGGAGAAAATGGAGAATTGGGAGAAAGTTGAGTTTTGCTAGTGATTTAGTGATAATTGATAAGAAAGATAAAAAAATATATGAGGACTAACTTCAAATTTTTATGTGAAATTATTATATAAGGTTGTCCAGCATGGCCTGAAAACCCAGGTAGTATGAGAAAGCTAATAATCCTAAGAACTTTTCAGGATTCTATTTAAATGTTGATCAGTGTCCAGGGTTGCCTTTTCTCCTCATATATTGAGAAGAGGGGTGAAGAAGAAGGAACTCATCCATTCTGATACCCCATCACTTCCTGATAGAAACAAACTATCATGACTCAGAGCACCTGTGCTTCCTTTTCTGGAACCAACAATAACCCGAGAGGGTCCATCTCTATGCACTTTTGCTCCGAGTGACAGGGAGGGAATTAGCTCAAAACATCTTATCTGCTGCTGGAATAGCAGTTACCCAAGTGGGTGTATGGGGCCCCTATGGCTATTTTATCTGTATAAAAAGGTTTGCAGCCTATTCTTCCATTGAAGAAATATCTTTCATTTGTTTTTTTGTTTATTCTTTTATTAATTTTTCCTAGAAATATTTATTGTGAGTTTGCTAATGCCAAGCACTGTTCTGGGTGCTGGGGATATAATGGTGGGCACACGATTCCATGTCCCTGTATTCTCAGTGCTTAAAATCTAGAGAGAAAAAGCTGTTGTTTAGGTGAACAGATCTGATGGAATACTAAGAACTATTCTTTCTCTCACTTTTTAAAATAAAATTTTTAGAGCATGTCACAAGATATATGTCTCTGTGTTTTGAACAATCTGTCAGAGGGAGAAATGAATAAGGTACATTTTATTGATCTTGCCAAATTGCTGCCTGTTAACTTCAGAAATATTCCGCATATGTTAAACAAGTGTTTGTGAGCTATTGCAGCTTACTAGTTAGATGGAATGTTGCATGTCAGAGAGTATTTGGAAGATTGGTTACTTTAGGGAGATAGCTTTAAGGGGGATTACCATAATTCTGCCACAGTTGACAACTTTGCATGTGTGCTTCGATAGCAGGAATTAAGGTCTTCTGTGATTTATTTAGGAAAAAACTCTTCTATATGTGGAATCCATGAAGACTGTATCTGTGAGGATCAAAACATCATGCTTTGAGTTACTGTTAAGTGTTTTATAGACCTGTGGGACCAGATTAATCAAAAGAGTAATTGTTGGGGTTTTTTAAAGATGATTATGTTATAGACATGATAAAGTCTTCATTATCAATCTTTTCTCTCTAGGATAATAGTTAAATTAGTAATATCTAGTGAAGGCCCTGTATCTAGTTAGACTCCGCTTAGCACTGTGGCACTTTAGCAAGGTTTTATGGAAGGTTCCCTGTGTACTTGATTGTTAGATATACTGAGAGATAGACCTATAGTGTTTGCCCACAAAGAACTTATAATATGGCTTGAGAAACTATAAGCAGACATGAAAAGATAGCTGGTAAGTGTTCAGTTAATGACTAGAGTGGGGAACTATATCTTTGGTCTGTGTGGGTAGGATTCATATGAATAAAGAATGATAGAAGGACAATCTATGGAGGGAAATGAAAAGGGTTAAACACAGAGAAATTATACTAAAGGCCAGGTGACATTTTCATAGGGAATAATATAAAGGCAGGTTGGATCAGTCCAGATGGTTTTAAGAGTCAGGTTTAAGAATTTGGACATCTTTGTAACAAGGAAAATATAACCACAGTATTTATTAGATCAGGCCAGATATCAGTTTATTCTATTTAATTCTAAATTCGCTACCTTAAGCCTATTCTAATAAGAGACATATGTTGAAAGGTATTATAAGTACAATTTCTGTACATTCCTTTTTTCATCACAGGTTTTTATTTTTCCTTGCAGATTCCCCCCCCTCCCTGCGACAATAATAAGTTAAAGTTATGGCAAGCAAGTAACTCTTCTGACTATTATTATAACATAAGCTACTGTTAACTGAAAACTTTCCGACATATTGGGAAAAGTGCAAAACATTAAGTGGGTTTGATTACTATGTTATCTATCATGAATACAAAATAAAGAACCCAATGCATGAGAAATTTCTTAAGGCTAGAATATGTAGATTAATAAAACTTTAAAAACATTATATATTGTATGCATTATCCTCCATATGCAATTTTTCAAGAGACATTTTTCACGTTGTGATAGTATTAAAATAGTTAAAGACCTAGCTGGTTTGGCACACTGGACATTGTATCGGCATGTGGACCAAAGGGTCCTGGGTTCGATTCTGGTTAAGGTCACATACCTTCGTTGCAGGCTCGGGAGGGTTGGGGGAGAGAGGAAGAAGGGTCATTTGGGAAGCAGCCAATCAATGTGTTTCTCTCACATAGATATTTCTCTTTGTCTTTTCCTCTCTTTCACCCTCTCTAAAAGGTCAATGGAAACATAACCTTAGGTGAGGATTTAAACCTCCCCCCCACACACACAAAAAAAAAAGCACTTCAAACATTTTCTATACTTGTTTTTGTTGTTGTTTTTTATTGGCTAGCCAAAAAAGCCTCCAAATTTCGGGACTGGTTGGACTGTAGCAGTATGGAGATAAAACCCGATGTTATGGCTATGGAAATTTTGGCATATTTAGCGTATGAAACTGTGGCACAGGTAAGAATTCTAATCTGTCATATCAGCCCTTATATGGCTGCTTTCTCCTTAACCCCGTCCATGATCAGTTCTTACTCCACCTGCTGCTCCACCAGGGATGAGAACTGCAATGAGTTATTCTGTGACAGTCTTATCATTTTCAGAGATTTAGTTCAATTGAGTTTCTTTGCATCTTCAGTTCTGTTGGTGTTTAGGGTAAAAGTAACTATTTCATGCAACTTTATTCCAACTAGAACTGAAACCTTACATAGTTTGTCTCAATATTGAATTCCAAGCACATATCTGCCATGTTTAGAGATTATTTTTGATCTTCAAATACTTTTCTAAATATGTTCAATCTACTTGAATGGGTGCAAAAAATCTGAGTCCTCTAACATGGTCTTTAGACCACAAGCATCTACATCTCCTTGGTTCTTGTTTAAAATGTAAATTTCTATATTACACCCCAGAGCAGTCCTAGTGTATTAGAGTATGAGGGCTTTGTATAATTTCAATATTGAAACTATTCTCTGAAAAGAAACATCTGCCTGAAGCCCGGAAATCTGTATTTTAAAATGATTGTTTAGTGATTCAGAAATAAAGTGTGTGACCCCATATCATTTCTGTTCAGGGGAAGTTTATATGCCAGTCAATGGAAGCATGTGCTCATGTCCACAGTACAGAATTTTAGGCGGACAGTATTCTCAATAACATTTGGAATGTACTGCTTTTTGGTTTGCCACTTCAGTGACATAGATGATTATTACAAGTTTTCTGACTTTGTTTCCATTGCTCTGATCTCCTAGTTAGTAGATCTGGCTCTTCTTGTGAGACAGGACATGGTAACCAAGGCGGGAGACCCATTCAGCCATGCCATTTCGGCGACCTTCATTCAGTATCACAGCTCTGCTGAGGTAAGTATCAAAAAATCTGTCTGACACTTCTATGGATTTTTTTCTCATGTCCAGTATTTATAAAAATAGTTATTTGGAAAAGATTATGTTGGGACTTGTGGCCTTTACTCAAAGAATCTTAAGGCAGTTAACATTCAAACAAATATTTATTGAGAACCTGCTATGTGCCTGGTCCTAACAACCACTTAATACTATGAACCTTTTCACCTTTTCCTTATTTAGCTTTCCCAGCCCTTCAATTAAAGAGAGATAGTTATAGGGCATTTCTCATTTCCATGGGAGATGAACCACTGGTTTTGGTAATTGAATAACGTTGAAAAAAGTTATTTATCTATTTGTGCCTCACAGATGAGAGGATTATTAGTCATGTAATGTTAATTCCTCACATTTGTTGATAATTTACATTCTAGTTATTGATCCATCTCTAAATATGGGTTTACAGAAACACAGCTCCATGTGTCCTTTGGTGTGGATTGGCCCTATCCTGTGAGGATCACATCTCTTCTGATCCAGTTTCTCTTCTGAGATCCCCACCTGTGGGGACTTAGTCTTCGGGCCAATTTTAAGGCTTTGTATAATTTCAATATAAAAAATATTCTCTGTAAAGCAGCCTGGGCCTAAAAACCAGAAATCTTATATCATCCAATAAGTAAATTCACTAATATTTGACCTTTTTTACTAGCAGTAAATTCATATAATTGAGTCTAAGAACCATAGAGAGGGCAGCACAGAGGTTAGGTTAACATCTACATGTATAATTGTAAAATACGTTGTAGATCAAGTTAGGTGAAACATATAACCTAAAAATAGATAAGCCCCTTTGATAATTTGATGAAAACTATAAGCCTTTTCCTCATAAACACATTTGCAGATTTTGTATACAATTTCAGGGTGTTCAAAGACCCTCTGAAACCATTCTATGAATCTAAGAGGTCTGGGAACACTCCCAAGTTTAAGTAACTCTGCTCTAAGATACCTAATAGATCCATGATTATATACCTCGTATGGCTATACAGCATATTATTACAGGCCAAAACTTTGACATCTTTTTATGCTCCTTAAAGTATCATATTGGCTTGGAATCTAAGTAGGAATTAAAATGTTTATACCTATTAAAAATACTTTTTTTCTTGGGAAAGGACATACATCATTATCAGTCAGCATACTTTTAAAGTCCCTAAAGATTACCCAGTTGATTAAACACTATTTGTTTATGTTACAAGCCCAAATTATGATGTCAAAGAACGCCTTTTAAAAGGTCTTTGGTACATGTTCTCTTTATGCATATGCGTACAAGTATGCTTTTCATTAACATCACACAAATTTGTTGTTAACATTTCTAATTGAAGAAATGTACAGTGAACATAACAAGCCTAGTTTTCTCTTAACATTCAAGGGATTGCTTGCATGGCTAGGAACGTTCTTTATTTCTCCCCTTTCTTGGTTCTCCAGGGTGGCCAAGCAGCCCTGGGCAACTGCTCAGCAACCACAGCCGCTGTTCCCAGCTCCCCAGCAGTTAGAAAAATGGTCTATGTGTGCTGGGTTCCTGGGCTCTCTGGGAGGTATGAGCAGTAGTTTCAGAAATCATCCTGACTAAATATGTTAGTTCAGCCCCAAACTCTCTTGCCTGCCAGACACCCATTAACCTATGTGACTGGTAGTCAGAATGAACATTCATGGGGACGGGAAGTATTCAGAGGCCGGTCACCTCACTAAACACAAAGAGAATGGCCACTCTTAAAGTCAGAGTCTTATTCATCACCTTTACAAATCAGCAACCAACAGCAAGGACCTGTTGGACTTAATCTCTTTGGGTACAAATGGAACTCTGGAGACTGATATGATCTCTGTTCAGAGAGGTAAAACAAACAAGGAAAGTAATGAGCAAGCAAACAAACACAGTTCAAGATAGCATATGCTAATTTCCAAATGGGGCATAGACAGTGTGAAGGTAAAAACCACTTCCTAATTACAATCAAAGAAGACTTCAAAGAGGAAGCTGAGTGTTGAAGGAGAGATAGGACTTGGATGAGACTGTACAAATGGGGAGAATACTCTGCCTCAGAGGCAGCATCAGTATAATTGTACAAGGAAAGAAAAATCTCTGATTAAAATATTCAAGGAAAGGATTCATTGGGAAGGGGTAGTAAAAGTCAGATTAGAAAATTAAGGCCTTAGACACTTAGTTATTAAGGAAGTGTTGAAGTTTTCTTAGTTAAAGCATCATGAGCTCAAATAGGTGTTTTTAGAAGATCCAAGTGGAGGTGCTATGTACAGTGGATTGGAATTGGAAATTTAAGGCATGAATTTAATATAAAATGTTTTCAATTTTAATGATTATCATTTCTTAAGCATTAAGTGTTATAAAGAACTGAGCTATTTAAGATTGGGTTTCTCATATTGATTTTGCAAGTTTAATATTAATTCAACTTAATTTTCTATATATTTTTTTCTAGCATATGGCTAATGCACAGGAAGCAATAATTTTTAGGAGCTATCTTGTTTTTCCTAAGAACAATTTATGCTAGATTAGCTTTACCCTTCCTAATTGATAATGTTTCTAGGCATGTAGATCAAAGAAACCAATATCTGAATTTCAGCAAAATATTTTGCAACATTTTAGCATAATTTTTTTTTTTTAATTATAGAGAAGTATAGGCAAGTAGATAGTATGGTTAGTATGTATGGTTGATGGGATGACACGTTATTAGTACCATATGTAAAAAAAGACAGAGACTTTTATTTACCTATAAATTTCTTAGGAGCCGATATTATGATTTACATTAAGGAAGCTTTCTTTGGTTTTAGTGTTTAGGCACCATCTTATAGGGTGGACGCTGACACACAGTGGAAGATGTCTAAGGAGAGTTAACAGGGAGTGAAGGAAGCTGAAAACATGTACCAGTGGTTGAAGGAACCTGAGATGTTTGGCCTGTAGAAAAGGCTGTGAAGTATAGTGGTTTTTAAATATTTGAAGTACTTCTAAATGGAAGAGAGAATAGACTGACAGTCATAGCCAATGGAACCAGATAGATAGGAGGGATTTCTGAAAGAAGGAAGGAATTAGATGTGGAAGGAGCTAGAGGTATCAACCATGACCCTGAGACACTGGGAGAGGGCTGGTCAACACTGATACAAAAAAATGTCTGAAAGGTGTCCAGTTTGGGAGGGGGACAAGTTTAGAGGTTCCTTTTGAAACATGTAAGTTTTAAATGTTAACAGAACTTTCAGGTAGAAATGTCTGTATCTGACAAAACCCACAGAAAATTTAGAAGCTGTATCTGAGGACTCCTTATTATATCTAAATGATTAGACAGATTATAAGTGAAGATATTTAGACATTTTAGGGGCAAGATAGAGGCACCATTTCTGTGAACATGATAATAATAAGTTGTATTTGTATATTTGTAAGCTTCAACTAGTGTTAAATTCATGAGATACTAAACAAAATCAAATGTTAGTAGAAGTCCTGGTCACTTGATTTCAAAGCCACATCTCTTTGGGCAGGGATCTTGCATGAAGTCCTACCCAGACTCCCCTGAGAATACACCTCCTCCTACACCAACAGCTCCATCCTCTGGACCACAGCATGCAGGGAAAGCCTCAGCAGGGTCCCTTGGGAATGGAAATGCTGGACAAGACTCAGCTAAAACCAAGCAAAGGAAAAGAAAAAAGGTCAGTGATTTTTTTTTTCCTCCTTCCTCCCCTCCAGAGAGGAGAAAGCCTTGTTGAGTTCTTTTCAGAGATAGGGAAAATGTGCTGTTTTTCTCATAATTCTTTTTTTTTTTTTTTTTTTTTTTTTTTTTTTTTTTTTTTTAGAGATCACTTTATTTTATTGATTTTTTACAGAGAGGAAGGGAGAGGGATAGAGAGCTAGAAACATCAATAAGAGAGAGACATTGATCAACTGCCTCCTGCACACCCTCCACTGGGGATGTGCCCACAACAAATGTACATGCCCTTAACCAGAATCGAACCTGGGACCTTTCAGTCCTCAGACCAACACTCTATCCACTGAGCCAAACCGGTTTTGGCTAATTTAAATTTTTAGAAGCGGCCAATTTATACTTAATCATACTTAATAACTTCTATTCAAACTTTAACAGCTTTCTTCTGGATAAAGCAAGATATTGAAAAATTTAACATTTTATTTTAAAATTTCAAACATACAAAAGTTGAAAGACTTGTATTATAGAATGAATACCATATATCTGCCATCTAGATTCTACAATTAACATTTTACTATATTTACTATGTTAACCATATATTTACATTTACTATATCTATTCATCTAATTGTTCCTTTATGTATCCATCAGTTTAATTTTTTTGATACATTGCAAAGACAGCTGCAGACATCAATGCATTTGATGCCTAAATGCTTCATTATGTATACTTTGTTTATGGTTCTTTTTTAAAGGTAAAACATAGACACAGTGAACCACTCAGTTCTTAAGTATGCCACTTGTTGAATTTTAACAAATATGTAAGACTATTGTTTTTTAAGCCCTTTCAAAGGTATAAAACAGTACCACTAATTCAGAAAGTTTCTTCATTCCTCATACCAGTCAATATTTGCCATCTTTCTCAAAAAGGGAATGAGTGGTCTGATATTTTCCATCACAGATAAGTTTTTTCTGTTCTTAACTTCATATAGTGTGTATATTTTTTGTGTGAAATTTCTTTCACTCAGGATATTTTTGAAATTTATATTTTTCAGTCGAAGTATAATGTATTTCTTTTTATTAATGAGTAATGTACCCTTGTATGAATATATCAGTCTACTCATTCTCATTTTGGTGAACATTTAGCTTGTTTCCAGTTTTTAAGGTATTATGAATAAACCTGTTATGAACATTGTGCAAGTCCTCATGGAAAAATGCCTTTTTTTTTTTCTCTTAGGTAAGTAACTATGAAAGAAATTACTGGGTCACAGAGTAGGTATATTTCAGTTTTTAAAGAAAAACTTTTTTTCCAAATGGTTCCATCATTTTTACCTCTACCAGTAATATCTGAGAGTTCCAGTTGCTACATGTGCTCATCCACATTTGGTGTTGTCATTGTTGTTACTTTTAACCCTTCTGTTTGAATTTGCATTTCTCATGTGAGTGATGATGTTGAGCATTTTTTTTTTTAATGTGTTGTTTGGTCATTCATACACATTCCTCAGGGAAGAGTCTCTTCAAATCCTTTACACAGGATTTTTGAGGATGAGTTTCTTTTTTTTATCAACTTGTAGAAGTTCTTTATATATCCTATGTAACAAGACTGTGTTGGTGTATATTGATGAGCAGAAGTTTTGAACTTCTGATGAAGTCTAATTTATCCAATTCTTTATTTTATGTTTATTGCTTTCTGTGTCCTAAGAAATCTTTACCTACTTCCAAACCATGATGATGTTCCTTTTGGAAACTTTATAGCTTAATTTTTATGTTTAGTTCTATTAATCAAGTCAGATTAACTTTTGCATATTGTACAAATTGAAGCCAACTTCACTTTTTCACATATGGATATCTAGTTATTGCGGAACCATTTGTTGAAGACACTTCTCTCCCATTGGATTGCTTTGGTAGCTTTGTTGATAATCCATGACTACCTATCGATGTGGATTTATTTCTAGATTTTCAATTTTGTTTCATTGATCTACTTATTAATCCTTTTGTCAGTTTCATCTTTCTTGATTTCTGTGGCTTTTTAATAAGACTCAAAGTTTGGTAGTGTAAGTCCTCAAACTTTACTTTTCAGGTTTAATGTGGATTTTCTGTGTCTTTTGCATGAATGTAAATTTAGAAACAACTTGTTAGTTTCTATCAAAAAGAATGAGAGAGAGAACGGGAGGGAGAGAGACAAAGGCAGGAAGGGAAAAGAGAAATAAAAGCCTAGTAGGATTTTGAAAGAGATAGAGAGCAAACAGACAGCTCTAGTGTTGGCAGGGACAGGCTATGAGGTGGTGTTGGGGGGTAGAGGGATTGAGCAAAAAAAAGAAGAGAGAACTCATGGATATGGACAGGACAACAGTGTGGTGTTTGCAAAGAGGAGACAAATGGGTGTAGGGGGAAGAGCATAGAGGGGATAAATGGTCATAGAGAAAATAAAATATAAAAGAATTGAAAGGGATTAGATTGAATGCTTATTCAGTTTGGGAATCTGACTGTCTCAATGATACCAAGTATGTATTATAATCCATGAATATGGCATATCTTCCCACTTATTTATATTTATAAAATCTCTCTTTTATAAATACTATTCATCCTGAATTTTATTATCTGATTAATGTAACCATTGCAGCCTAATGTTATACTATTTATATGGTACTAGATGCCTGGTGCACAAAATTCTGCACAGGTAGAGTCCCTAGGCCTGGCCAGTGATCAGGGCCAGTTAGGGCCTTCTGTCTGCCAGCTAACAGAAGGGGATGAAGCGGAATGAAGGGAGGCCCCAGTTGGCAGACAGAAGGCCCTAATGGTGGTCAGCACATGTCATAGCGAGCGATAGAACTCCCGGTCTCCCGGACAAACTCCCACAGGGACACTTTGCATATTAGCCTTTTAGATATGTTTTTCTATCCATTTCCTTTTATTATAGCTTTATCTTTAATATTTAAAATATATTTCTTGTAGACAATAAATAATTGAGTCTTTTTCTTATTTTTCTTTTGTGTATCTTTTTAATTATAGTCTTTAATTCCATGATATTTAATGAATTTATTGAAATGGTCAGATAGGGGTCAACTATTTTCCTCTTTTTTTTTTCTGCTTGTTCTCTCTGTTTCTCTTCCTCTATTTTTCTTTCCTGTCTTCTTTTAGGTTAATTGTGTCTTCTTTTAGAAATCTGTTTTAACTTATCTGCTGGTATCTTAGTGATGTCTCTTTGTATACATTCTTAAATTTTCAATGTACTTAGAATTCTTGTTGTGCTACTGTAGTCATGTAAAATATAAGACTATTTGTATAGTTCAATTACTTTACTCTTGCTCTTTAAACTATAATTGTCAAACAATTTAGATCTACATATGTTATAAACCACAATACCATTTTTTTTTTTGCCTTAAATATTCAAATGTATTTCAGGAAAACTAAGAGGAAAAAAGAGACCTTAACAACTACCATTTCCATTGTTTTTCATTTCTTTTTTATTATCAGAATTTTCTTCTTTTTTTAATATATTTTATTGATGTTTTACAGCAAGGAAGGGAGAGGGATGGAGAGTTAGAAATATCGATGAGAGAAAAACGTAGATCAGTTGCCTCTTGCACACCCCCCACTGGGATGTGCCCGCATTCGAGGACCATGCCCTTGACCAGAATCGAACCTGGGACCCTTGAATCTGCAGGCTGACACTCTAGCCACTGAGCCAAACCAATCAAGGCCAGAATTTTCTTCTGATATTGTTTGTTTGTTGTTGTTGTTGTTGTTGTTGTTATTGTTGTTCTACTAGATTTTATTTAGCATTTCTACTAATGGCTGGTAATGGTTTCTCTTAGTTTTCATCTTTTTGTAAATATCTTTATTTCTTTATTTCTGGAAAATGTTTTCACTGGGAAAAGAATTCTGGATTCGCAGTTTTATTTTCAGGCCTTTAATGCTATAATTCCACTGTTTTCTGGCATTTATTATGTTTAATGATGCCTATGGATTTTGTACTGCTTCTTTGTATGTAAGCTGTTATTTTCCTTTGGATGCTTTCAGGATTTTATCTTTAAATTTGTTTTCTAGCAGTTTGACCATGATATACATGGTTTGCTTTGTATTTGTCCTGATTAGAGTTCACTAAGCTTCTTCAATATTGATTTATGTCTTTAACCAATTTGGGGGAATTTTCAGTATTTATTTCTTCAGATATTTTTTCTGCCTTGTTCTTTCTATTCTTCACTTTTGAGACTCCAAGTCCATATTTGTTACTTTGATACTGTTCCACAGGTACCTGAGACTCTGTTTAATTTTTCTTTCAATCTTTTCTCTCTGTTCTTTAAGTTGGATAAATTCTATTGTTCTTGCATTGTGGGGGCCTGATGCGACAGGGGCCAGACATGTCAGGGATCTCCCTTTCCCGCATCCCACACGGAAAGAGAGATGAATGAACCGGTTCTAAGTGGAGGCAGCCAGGTATTGAGAAATATTAGAAATAAAGAGAGAAGACACAGAGATAAATTTTAAGCCAGGAGCTGGGTGGGCCATCATCCTGTCTGCTGGAGAGGCAGGAAGAAGACGATGACGGCCCCTCCCAGTGCATTTATTTTATATTCCCAATCCCAGGAAGTTATCACAACTTATTTGCATTCTTAAGTAGGCCCTAGCATGCCGGGTCCCACCCCTGCTGACACCTGGGCTGATATGAAGGCCAAGCTGACAACGTGTCCACCATCTTGGGGAAACATGTTCCTAGGGCATGGCTCTTTCTACCCCTTGAGTTCAGCTGACAATAATTAAAGAAAATTGCCCACGTGCCTTCCCAGGCAGCCCTCAACATTGCTTTATGTTCCTGGCTCTTCTGTTAGCTCCAATCTGCTGTTATATCCATCAAGTAATGTTTTATTTCTGATAGTTTTATATTTTCCATTTGAGTGTTTTATAGTTTTTGTTTATCTACCATTATGTTTTATTTGTCATTTATTACAAGTTTATTTTATATCCCTGAGCGAAGTTATATTAGCTGTTTTAAAATGCTTGTCTTCAG